TGGCGTTTTTTTTTTGATTGCTATTTGGAATTTGTTAGGTTTTGTCTGTATTTAAAACTATTTATTTGAATTCTGTGCTTAAATGTTTTCAGAGTTCACTTGGTCCTCTTTTAACACGACCTTCCTGTTCTGTCACACTTGATTCACCTTCTGGTGAACCGGCTGTGCTTCCGTGATCCTTCAAGGAGGACAGAGAGGGGGTACACATTTGCATCTTTCTGTTGCCCACACAATTACCAGGAAAAAATCCAGGGCAGATAAATGTTCAGTGAGAACATCCCTCATCATATGTCTGTGAATATTTATTATTTTTTAACATCTAATTTTGCACAGTGGACAGGAGTGAGGCCAGCCTGATTTTTAAAGATTTATAGAATTATTTTTTTACCCTTGACGTTAATATGTGTCTTTAGTAAATATCTAAAGGTGGTGTTTTCAGTTTTTTCTGGAATTCAGTGAAATACGTGGTGTTTTAAATGCGTATAGTATTACATAATCTGTTTCATATATAAGGAATAATTTATATATATACACAAACACATATACACCTTCCCAGTGACGTTTTCTTGCCTTTTAATGATGTTTCTGTTGCACTTTCCTGGTGTCCTCGGTAAGAGCTCCGTGGTCCTGTATTGAACATCTGACGTGCATCTCACGTGGTTACAGCCTCTTACTGATCATTTTCATTTCTTTGCCTTTTCCATTTAGCTGTAGAGAAAGCTTCAGAAGTTCCCCTTCTTATGTGATTAAATTGAATGTTCTGCGTTTTCAGATCTCTTATCACATCTGAAAGCATCTTAAATTCCATACTTTTCCATCTCGGTCATTTCATTACAAAACAACAAATGGTCTGCTTTTCTTGATGACTCTGAGCTCAAATGTTCTTCCGTGTCAAATGTTCTTCAGTGTTCCGTGGCAGACACCCTTCAAAGGTGTGTTGTTCCTCTACCTCTTGAATGTCTTTCTGAATTTTTTTCTTTAATTTTGCGGCTTTTATCGATAGGTCCTATTCTCTTTCAGGTTTTTTCTTTTTATTTAAATATCTTTAAATGGGGGGGCAGTCTTTCTTGCATTGGAATTGCATATGCCCTTGGGACCACCATGCGCCAGGTGTGGGAAGATGCACCTGTTGGGGGGAAGGGGGAACTGCTGACATTTGCAGCGGGGGAGACCCAGTGTGACAGGTACCTCCTGCGAGGTTGCTGAAGCTGCTGCCTGGGCACTGGCTTCCTGCAATTGGTCATAGGTTTGACCTGGACTCATTCCAGGACCCCAGTGTGGCTGTGTCAGACCTTTTGTGCTCCCCTCCCTGCCCCTGTTAGGGCCAAAAAACACCAGCAAGAAGCTTTCTGTGCAGTGTGGCCAAGTTCACTCGTGCAAAGTTTGTTGGCTGTGAGCACTGGGAATATCACCAGGTGAGGGAGCGTCTCTGTGGTCCACGACCTTTGCTCTTACAAATATCAGTGTAGTTCTCCCGGGCTGACAACTATTTTCTTTCTATGACACCGTGCTGAGAGGTGCCAGATATGGCAAATAAAAACACGAGATGCCCAATTACATTTGAATTTCAGAAAGAAGAAAACCCACACATTTTTTAACGTTTATTTTTTGTTATAAACATGCCCCATGGAATACGTCTGTTTGCTGGAAATCGAAACATAAGTGGGTTCCTGTGTTGTATCTGGCAGCCTGACCCATGCCATGTTTTGTGCATGAGATGTCTTGAGCCCCCTGTGACTTCCAGGAATTCTCGCGGTCCGCGGCATGCAGGTTGTACCTAGTTTTCAGCGATGCTGATTTTTACTTATTACCATGTTCTCTTAGTTATTGCTCTTAGGTCCACTTGAGGGGAAAAAATAGAGTCCTGTGCTCAAACTGCTGCCTTCCTCGTGTTTTTTAAAAGTATTACTTAGGGAAAAATGATCTTTTCAAAAATGTTAACATTAATATAAAATCTCTCGAAGACTACTGAGTTGCTTAAAGATGTGAGCATGTCACTTTCCTTGAAATAAGTGTTTACAGCTGTGTCACCCAAATGTAAATTTTTTTCTTAAAGGGTTATTAACTGAGATTCACTGTGCACAGCTTTCTTGTTTGGCACTTGGCTCATTTTTATGTGGAATAGAAGCGGTGTCCTCTGGTTACGAGAGCCACCCCTGTGGGGACTGCAGGATGATGAGTTTTACTTCCTTCATTCTGTGCATCGTGGAATATAATTGGCATTATTTTTTTTAGTTTATTAAAAAGGAAGAAACTGTAGCTTTAGGTCAACATGGAACATTTTCAAGCAATAAACGTGTGGGTCAGCTACCAGGCAAAAAGTCTATTAGGCTGTTTGTGGAATAAAGTGAGGGAGCTACTTCCCTTCGAATCATGTGCACGGTGACCCCTGATGTCCTTATTGCTTCTCTGAATAAAGTCAGGAGGCTCCACGCCGCTGCCCTTGGAATGTGTAATTAGTTGCACAATTAAGTTTTGTGTCCTCCAGTGGGTAGGGGTCAGATGTTCAACGGGGAAGTTCGCAGAGCCCTGGTGTTTAGTATTAATGTTTAACCGTCTGTAATTTGGTTATCTGGCTTTGGCCGTTTCCACGATGAATTGCAAGCTGGTGCCCAGGCAGCACGAGGTAGCTGTTCCGAGTAGCGCCAAGCCGTGTTTTAACCATAGGGACGCTGTGTGATCCGTGTAGTTCTTCCGGGAGTCTCACTGCGTGCAGAGGCTCCTGTCCGCGTTAGTCCGTGTAACTGAGATGACAGGGAGCTCTTAATGGGATGAAAGGATCGGGGTTCTGATGGTCGTGATGGCAGAAGACAGCAAATGAAATCCTAACGTAAAAACTAATCTGCTCTTTGTAACATAAAAAGCATAATCCATTTGTTGATTCAATCGCCTGTTTATCAAATATTTATCGAGTACCTGCTATTTGCCAGGGCCTCTTCTGAAGACTATGAACGCAGTGGAGAAAAAGCCCTGTGTGTCGTCTCTGCTCACTGGCGTGTGACCCGCTGGTGCATACGGGGAATTTCTGCACGGCGTGGAGGGGGCTGTGGCAGAGGGGTCTGGGGTTGGAAGGAGAAACACAGGTGGAGAATGTAACCCACAATCATGCAGTAAAGGAAAGTGTTCCAGAAAAATGACTTCTATAATGCAGCCGGGTTGGGGGGTGGACAGGAATGTGGCCAGGCAGATGGGGAGGGGTGTCCAGAGAAAGGACGAAACCTAAAGCTTCAACCCAGAACACGAGGAAAAGACTCAACTGCCTGTGCTTTCCTTTCACTAAAACTCATCTGTGAAAATACAAGTTTATAGAAGATACAAACCAGCTGTCATCTTCAGAAATCTAAAACATAGTCTTTTTAAGGAAAGGAGTCTCTTGTTATATCTACAATATTTTGATTTTTGAAAAAAAAAATCCATACTTATTAGTTGAACCCTATGAAATTGCTCTGTGGGTCGGTGCAAACCGCTCGCCTATTATAAGCAGTTTCAACTGGTTCAGCACAATCCAAGCCTCGGTGGTTAAACCGGGGCTCAGCTGGCCTGAGTTGGGTGATGCCATTGAACGGAGAGATTTCTGCATCCGGGGCCGCGATGTTATGTAAACTCGAGCTGAATGTGTGTGTCGAGCCGGCTTCTCGGGTGGAAGGGACATTGGAAGCAGGTGGGCACCCTGCGGTGTCCGAGCTGGGCTGGGCCCTCTGCAGAGCCCACGGAAACATAGAGCGTCGGTGACTTGCTTGCTGCTCACAAAGCGGGGGACAGGACCCCGTCTCCGAGCTCTCTGTTCTCTGCTGCTCACAGCTGCTGCGAGGGGTCCGGACTCAGGTGGGCGTGATGCTTCGGAAAGCGTGTTCACGTGGGCCTTTGAAACAGGTGACACAATGAGTGTCAGAATAATCAAAGATAATTACACGGCTACTGATGAGAAGGGCTTCGGTGCAGCCGGTGGGGCTTTGCCTAGAAAGTCAGCGTTCCCAGAGCCAATGATTTCCATTTCTAAAACTCCTTAAATTGGTTCTTTGGGTTATGTAATTGCTCTGTCTGTGTGTTTCTTACAGCAACCTGTAAAAATAACATTTTGGATGTTTTCCCCCCGAGGGGGAGGGATGTGTTCAGTAAGGGAAAATGAAAGATGTTTTTTGCTTGTTGGTGGCAGGGTAGTTTCACAAGACGTGGATGTAACGGAAGTGGGCTCTGCCCTCGGTTCTCGGGTTCTGGGGTCCAGTTTGCACAAGTGACTCGGAGCGGCTGCTTCATGCGCTTGGCGCTGGCAGTTAGTGGCCAGGTCGTCTCATCTGTTTCTGGAGGGCTCTTCCCAACATGCCCTTCCAAAGTCTTTTCCCTGCACCTCTCAGCATAACTCCAGTTATAACTTGCAATGTCTACGTGAGTTGTAAGTGCCCATCTGAATGTATCTTGGCCCTGAGTCCTTAGCCATTTCCCCTTGGACGGTGCGTGCTTAGGTGTAGCCTGAGTGTGTGTGAACCGTGAAAGATCGGCACGTTGGCTGTGAAAACGGACAGGGATCAAACCACGTGCTGAGGAAGTTACTCCTGTTTGCAGACTGCGTGGTTGCGTCAATGGGAAGGGTGATGCCAGCTTCTCTGGGTGATGCCAGCACATTCTTAACACCTTTCTAACATTGGCGAATCTCCCGTTTTAACAAAGCGAGAGCTAGTCTTGGGCAGAACCCCCAAAAGGCACCATTATTGCTAGCTGAAGTTTTAAAACATGATTTTGTTCGGATTTTATTTGCATGCACGAGTTCTATCCGTGGCACGCGATATTGGTTTTCTGCTTACGTTAGTGGCATCCGTTGCTCCTAGAACAAAAGTATTTATTATCGAGTGGGTTGATCTAAATAAGAAATTTTGGGCAGAGAGTTGCAGAGGTGGCATGAAGATGGGGCAGTCCGGTACAAGGGGGGCAGGCAGGCGTCTGGGATGTTGGTGACGAGGCCCCAGAGGTACTAACGCCTGAACTGCGCTTCCTTCCCGCAGTGTCGGAAACTCGCGGGATCCTGGACAGCATTCAGAGGTTCTCCCTGCTGCCCACCTACCTCCCCGTGACCTACCACATCAACAACGCGGATGTGTCCTTCTTCCTGAAGGAAGCCAACCAGGACATCATGAGGAACTCCAGCCTGCAGTCCCGCGTGGAGTCCTTTCTGATCTACAAATCCAAGCGGCTTCCCGTGCTGAATGCCAGCTACGGGCCTTTCTCCATCGAGCAGGTGGTGCCCCAGGACCTGATGCTCCCTTCCAACCCCTTCGGACTTACCAACAGGTTTTCTCTCAACTGGAAACTGAAAGCCTACATCCTGCGGGAGAAGGTCTACCTGAGCCGGCCCAAGGTGCAGGTCCTGTTCTACATCGTGGGCAGAGACTGGGACGACCACAGCGCCGGGGAGAAGCTGCCGTGTCTCAGGGTCTTCGCCTTCCGGGAGACCAGAGAGGTGAGGGGCGGCTGCCGGCTGCAGGGGGAGCTGGGGCTGTGCGTGGCCGAGCTGGAGCTGCTGCCCGGCTGGTTCAGTCCCCCCACGGTGGTTGCCGGGAGGAGGAAGTTCGTGGACCAGCCGGAGGGCAGCCCCGTGGAGCTGTATTACACCGTGCAGCCGGGCGACGAGAGAGGGGACTGTGCCAGGGAAGACGCAAGGAGAGGCGGTGGCATCCGTGCAGGCCACAATGACATCGATGAGTCCGGGCCCCCCTTGCACAGGATCGGAAGTGTCTTCCTGTACCAGACCCGCAGCCAACCTCCCCTGCGGGAACTGCGTCTGGACAGCAACGTGGCCATTCACTACACACCAAAGACCGTGAGACGAGGAGATGTGTTGACTTTCCCTGTTTCCATCTCCAAAAACTCCACGGAAGACCGCTTCACATTGAGGTAAGTCAGCTCGGAAGGTCTGTCTGTACCAGCTGGAGAGGCAGGGGTGTTTTCGAGTAGCCCACGGTCCGATCGGAAGAGCTGTGCTCTCTTTCCAAGGTAGAGCTGACCTGCCAGTCTTCAGACTCCGTCTTCACTCTAGAATGCAGGGAGACCAGGTTGATCTTTTTGGGTTGGAGAATCGGTTGTGAAAATATTGTAATGAGTGGATTTTCCCAGGCCTTTGCAGAGCTACTGGGGGCAGGGGGTTTTCTGACGTTATCTCTTCTGCCTTAGCTTAGGGTATGATGAGCAAGTTGTCAGTGCTGAAGTTAACCACCGGGAGCCGTTTCAGAATCTGGAGAGTTCCACGCTTCACAGTTGGAATGCGGCTGCAAACGGGTTCGCAACAGTTGTCAGAAAGGATAGAGAACGTGGTTCTGCCAACTCCAAAGCTATTCCAAATATGCAAGTTCTAAGTATAATATGGTACCGAGCTCAAAGTTATCATTTTGTTTCTCCCTGGAAATAGAACTTAGTGCTCAAGAAAACAAATGAGCATAACGTGTGAAGAATATACAGTAGGATTTGTTGAGTTTCTTATGTAAGAATGTACCAAAGACAAGACATTTAAAATAACTACTGCGTGCTTTAGAATAAATATGGGCCCGTTTTCTTTTTGGAATGTGATACAGGAGAGGAGCTACTTGCCTTGGCTTGATTGTATCTTCATTATGGAGTTTTTAGCTCTGTTTTGTTTTAAACACAGGCGAGTTTGATCATAACGGCTAGTTAGTCTAAGTGTTATTGGGTGACTAACAATATCCTAACTTTGCTGCATAACTCAACAACTTGACCTGAAGTGCAACGTAACAGAATTTGTGTTGTATAACTTCTGAAAATAGGAGTGCTACTGTATCTAAGATGTATTTCATATCCGGGTTTTTAGTTTTTCTGATAGCAATTCTTTGGAACCCCTTAATGTGTGCTTCCTAGCTGCTGTTTGTGTGGTTTTTTTTTTTCCTCTTGTTATTTTTAAAGGATGGGTGAGCTTAAGAAAATGTTGTTCTGATTCTACTTTGCACATTTAAGTTGTGTTGATTGTGACCCAGTATGAGAAATGCCTTTTCCGTTTTAACTAAAGGAGCGGAGACTGATGGATGATGTTAATCTAATGCTGGAACTTGACTAAGCCCTGGAGGGTAAGAGCCTCTGGCTTGGGTGGATGTGGGTGCAGGGATTAGCCTCATGGATTTAGGGCGAGTAAACACATCTGTGCAGCTGTCCCTTCTGCTCCTCTCTGGAAATCGGATCTAAATGCAGCTGGTCACAGGTCCTCTGTGTGGGCTGCTAGCTTTGTGTTCAGCTTCTCCAGGTCCAATGATCTTGTAGAATATTCTTTGCGGAGATGCCTGCTTAGGTAGAGAAATATTTTGCTCGTAGAAACTAAAGGTTTGGAATGAGGGGTTTTTATTCTTCGACCACCTCACGCTATCAGTCATCCTTTGTGTTTGCCAATTACTGACGGTTGATTTCCCAGACCTGGGGTTTAAAACCAAAACCCTCTGGAGCTTTGCCTGTCAGGAGATGAGATCCACATTCTACTACTGTTTTCTGGAAGCAGTTGTGTGTGTAGTGTTGAATTTCACAAAGAGCTTTGTTATCCCATGATTATGACTATTTGCACACTAAATCTGTCCATCGGGGTCCCTGGGGTGGCTTTTATCTTTGGCAATCTGTAACAAGACCAAGGGAAATTCACTTTTCTGGGCTACACAGTGTAAGGCTCCAGACCTTTGCAAATTCAGAAGCAAACACATTTGAAGCATCTACATTTGGTGGCTCCACTCGTCAAAGACTGGAGAATTTTGGATACATGGCAAAAGGATATTTGTTCAGAGCGCATCAATTAAAATTTGTTGAAAAGACAATCAGTTTTCCAGATACGATGACAGTGAAATAAATATTTTGTGACTGTTTCTCTTGGTAAGATGCTATAGTCTGTTTCTTTAAGAGCTTGCATTAATAGTGTGCTTGCTGCATACTTAAAATGCTCTAATTACGAAGGAGTCTCATCCATTTATGAAAAAAGCTGGAGGTAAACTAGAACCTGGCAATACTATTGGCCTTTCATTTGAATTCCCATAATTAGAAAATAATAAAACTCTATATCTTTTTAAATGTAGTCAATTTGACACTAATTTAATTCAGCTTCCAAATATTTAGAATTAGTGTGTGTCTGTTCTGTTTGCCATCTGCTATAAATAACCCAGAAGGATTGAGCCAAATACCCTTGGGTGCTCCTGTCTGGTTGTGACTTGTGTTTCTGGACTCAGTGTTGAAGATGCTAGCACGGTCCAGAGGTGGGGGGACTCCTCTTTCACAGGTCGGGTGCCAGCAGGATGCCCATTGCCACCAAAGGGGCTAATCCCAGCCCATCCAAATTTGCAAATCATGGACTGAAGTAGTGGCTGCGGTTTGAGTTCTTTGTTGATGGTGGCCGATCTCATACTGCATACCTTCCCGGTTATCCGTGTGCCCACGGTTACAGGGTGGTGTCATGCTAAGGCATAGAACGTGGGTTGCACATGCGTGCATGTGCCTGTGTGTGTGTGTGTGTGTGTGTGTGTGTGTGTGTGTGTGTTGAGAACAAGCAAACTCAGGTAGTGGGGCTGTTGGTCATCTTACGAGTTCCACTCTACCCTGTTGCTTGTGTCTGCCAAAGCCAACACCTGCAGAAAAAGAAAAGCAAAATGTTTTATTTCCTTAGACATGTAAGGATACTATTAATTTCAGAAGCTGTTGCCTTCAGGTGGACCACAGAAGCGCCCCACAGCATTTGAACACCTCCCTCCCTGTGCTTCACACACACATTCTTCTTTCCCATTTCCCTCCCCGCAGAGGGGAGTCCACAGGTGTTACTGGATCAAGGTTCTGGAGGATGGTAAGAACTTGGCTCTTTCATTCACATCCTCACCTGCTACTCCTCAGCATCTCTCTTCCCCACGGGGGGTCAAGTTCAAAGGAGTTCTGGTCCTCAGATCTGAATGGGAGGCTCCCACCAAATATTTGCAGGGCATCCACTGGGCTGCCTCCCAGCCCGGAGAAACCAGGTGAAAGGCGTAGAACGGTGGAACAAAACTCGGAAGAGTAAGGGCTTTTCTTAAAGTCAGGGACGGTCTTAAATGTGTTGAATGAACGAACAATCTGTTGATTATTAACACATACACATACTTAGGATTTGCAGTTTTAAATGCTCAAGAATTTAAGTGCCGTGTACCTTGCGTAGGATCAGGTTTAAGACGAGCCCAGAGGAGACAGTGTCACCGAGGAGACAGATTCCTGCAAAGATGAGACTTACCAGGGAGAGAACGAGAGTGTAAAATAAGAATGCTTGACAGGGGCAAGAGTGAGTCTGGGATGGGTGACACGCTGAGGATATCCGTTGGCGATTTGGGAAGCCTGGTTTGCAGAAGGTTTTAAGCTCATTAGGAGATAATGTGGTTTGAGACTGACCCTGAGCTTAATTTGCTTGAATGGCATAACGTTCGAACCTGCCTTGGCCCCGAATAGGATCTCGTCTTATTCTAGTTCAGCTAAAACATGCCCTGGGGTATCCAACAGTATTCTTTGTTGCAGCCCGTAAATCCCATTCTGGTTAATTTAAGAAAAAAATAATAAAGGGATTATTGGGTGGATATTGTGCATCTCAAGAATTGATGAGAGACAGGGGACTGGGCTTGGCAATGCAGGGTCTGACGGAGGCTGGACGCCGGGATGTGGGTGCTCTCTCCCACCCACCAAGCAAATTCCTTAGATACTTTCCCCTGTTCCCGTTACACTCACACAAGACATGAACATCCCCAAGAAGCTTCCAGCGGCTCACACACCTGCTGGCTGGCTGAGACCCGTACGGCCTCCACGAAGAGGGATGAGATCCTTTAAGGACACATCCCATGGGACGGGCGTCTCCTTCTCCCAGAGAACTGGGCGCCGGTACAAAGAGGATGGATGCTGGTCTCTCCAAATCCCACCTTTGTCACCCCGTGGGGACTGGTGGAGTTACTTTGGAGAAAGGCGTTAGAGGCAGACAGACTTCCTATTTCAGAATTGACTTAGATTTGGAAAAAAGTCATAATGTCAGTGCAGAGTGTTCCCGTGTGCCCCCCGGCTGGCTTCCCCTTTCACCAATACTTTAAATCAGTGTGGTGCATTTGTCATCGTTACCGCACTGATGTTGAGACGCTATTGGCTCATGTCCACACTCGGTTCAACTTCCTTGGTTTTTCCCTGATGCCCTTTTTTTTTTTTTTTTTCCTGTTGCTGTTCCAGGACCCTGTCTAGGATGCGGCGTCATATTTAGTCATCAGATCTCCTTAAACTCCTCCTGCTGTCGCCATTTCTCGGATTTCTCTGTTTTTGGTGACCTTGGAAGTCTTGAGAGCTGCAGGTCAGCTGTCTTGTAGAGTTGCCTCCATCTAGGATTTGTCTGATATCTGTGCTCACCGTTAGACTGGAGCGATGGGTTTTGGGGAGGAAAACCAGAGGTGAAGTGCCATTTTTGTGACATAGCAAGGATACATGCAGCCCATGTGACATCCCTGCTGATGTTAACTTTGCGCCCCTGGATGAGGTCATGTTTGTCAGATTGGTTCACTGTAAAGTTAATTTTCCCTGTCCCTGACCTTCTTCCCCCCCAATTCTTTGGAAGAGGAGGGGAATGATACTCTCTCTCCTTGAGGTGATTATCTCTGTCAATTCTTAGAATTTTGCAGGTTACACTTGTTTATTTTCACTCATTAAATAATGCGTTTATTTCAATGAGGGCACCTGGATATTTATACTTTGAGTTATAATTCATTATTTATTTATTTTGTTACTCAGACTTTTCCACTTTGGCTACTGAGAGCTCTTTCATTTGGCCTCTAGCGAGATGTAGAATGGAAGTGGTAAGAAGTTGTCTTGCTTTATTCCTGACTTAGGTGAGAAAGCATCTAGTTCCTCACCGTTAAGTGTGATGT